CTTTGACCTAGGTATTGTATAAAATTTAAACTTTATTGGACAGGTTTTTTTTTTTTTCGCCCAGCCCCTCTGATGATGAATAAAGTGGCAGTCACACTCAGTTGACTTCCATTTATAAGCATGTGAATGCTGAGGTTTATTTATTCATTTTATCAGTGTCACATCGTCTTGTTTTACCCCCTTTTTGGCAGCATTTTCCATCAGAATTTCGCATGCAAACTTTAGTACGATTGTGGCTTAAAACAACCACAGGTTGCCAGATTGACAACGGCAACAGCAGCGGTCCTGCTGGCTGGTACAGGCCCTATAACAACATTTCGTAGGTGTCAAAAGCGGTAGCTGGGGGGATGTGTCGCAGAGTACAGTAAAGAGCAGAGGGTAGAGGGGGTTCTGGTGGGCCCCTAACAGTATCTCTGGGGGCCCCAAAACTGCCTGGGTCTTTAGAGTCATTCTTACTTTTCCCCATGTAGCGGTGCCTGAACATCGAGCTTTACAAATGTAACCTGCTAAGCTTATGTTAACTTTTGTAATATTTATATTATTTGCTAATTAAAAGCCACCTTATGCAGGTTTTTATAACCAGATTTTTAAAAAGAATTTGTATCTCATTTAGGACGCTGCTACTGTTCGGAAGTCACATTTTTGTCTGCGCCTGCATACATTGAGGTTTACGCTGTGTTTTCCACCAAGGCAACCCAGGCTGCCCAAAAAAATTGGGTAAACTGACGGTGGGTTACACAGACCAAAACAGACAGATACACATTATACACATTTTTAAAGGAGAATAACTGACTTTAACGTTGTTTTTCAGTTCACTTAGCATGTTTCTTAAATATCTACAAACATATTATGGTATTTTTATGCATTAGAAGGGTGAAAACTTTAAAGAGACTTTAGGTCTGTTTATTCAGCAACTGCTATGGGTGTTACCTGGGTATTGTGCTTGTGAGATTTGAAGTTTCTGCACTCGAATGCCCTCTGACCTTAGGAGGAGATTTCACAGAAATGTTCCCTCCCTGACAAAACGCCCATGACAATCACAGCTTTGCTTAATCACATTCGCAATTTCATTTCATCTAATCGCCTAGCCCTGACTAGAAGGTTAACATTTTCCATACGTAATTCTAGCTAAACATCGACTAGCTGTTTATATTAACTTAAATCCAACTGACAGTTGATGCATTGGTACAGTATCTGAAGTGTATTTAAATAAAATGGACGTCTTTTAGTTGAATTCATTTCCCACTTAGTTCATTGTTTTATAATGTTATAACTCCTGGCCTGTTTTTGTATTATTTCTCATTAATACCCGGTTTCACTCCAACTCCAGATTACAAGAGGTGAAATGGATTGCAAAAGCATTTTGTGATGATTTTATTATAGGAGCTTAGTAGTGTCAAAGAGAAGAGAAGGGAGGAGTTTTCTGGACAAAAAAGGCTTATAGTCCACAACATTTGAATTGTCATTGGGTATGAAGTTGCTTAATTTCCTTATACTTGCATTAACTACTATAGTCACGTTTTTAATTAAATGATTTATTGTGGAGTTGCTTGGTTTAGTTGAAGGCTTGGATTTGTATTTATTTTTTCTTTATTTGCTATTTATTGATTATAATTCTTTGCATGAAATGCTTAGTAAGGAAATGAATGGGACATAGATATTGTATCCATTATTTAAGAATTCATTGCCTCAAATTTTAGGTATATGCACTTTTTTGGTTTATTAAGTTTAGTTCATTAAATTGTATACACAAGTGGGAGAATAGTAGTACCGCAATTTAACTAAAAAAGGGAACCAATTAGAAAGTAATAGATGCTAAGGATGCACAAACTACTAAAATGTTTTTACTTTTGAGCTGAATTAGTTCTGAAGGGCCGGAATCATTGACTGAAACAATGATGTTTAACAGTAGTGAAATGTGTTAGACTTTTGTGGACTCCACAGATAGGTTGACTCAAATTCTTGATTTTAATTGATACTGATATACAGATTTCATGATTTTTCTTTTAGTCTCTGCTGTTTTCTGTTGATGCATGAAATAAACTTCAATAAACATTAAGAGGGTCTGCTATCCAATAATTACAATATGCTTTGTGCTGTTGTTTCTTTAAATACAAGCCAGTCTAAAAATACTACATTTATTCTAGTAAATGTTGTGATATAATTGACAAAATGTCAAATTGTTGCTCCTTTATACAATAACAAGTCAATGGTTATAATCACATTAGAATCACATTAGGCACATTTGAACTGATTATCCTTTCCTCTTTTTTACTATAAATTATATCAATAATGTATGAACATGTTAAGAGATATACTATCAGTGTTTCAGCTATGGAAATGTATTAATACAATGTCAGAAGTGCTATTTGGTGTTAATGTATATCAGATCTATTAATATTTTTATTATTTATTGTGTGTTTGAATGCAAACAATTAGGACAAAACTTCAGAAATTTAAAATTATAGTTTTATACAAATAGGTTTTACTTTTGATTACTAAATAAACCTAAAGTAAACTAAAAGGAAAAATAATCAACCCGAATAATTAAGTTTCAGTTTTCAGCCAAGTTAATCTTGAATTTATGGTTTTGCCTCAGAATTTTCTTTTTGGTGTCTGAAATTTTTACTTGTGGACATAATATCTGTATTTTTTATTGTATTGTTTTACATGAAAGCTGTGGAAAAGTGTTACTTGTGGTTTGCTCTTTGTATTTGTAAAGATTTGTTTGAAAGGAAACATCCATCTTTTTTTATTTATTTATTTAATCTTATTTTGCAAACAACTATATTGCCAAGTTTTTTCTTGATTATTGTATTCCTAAGTTCAGATGCAGTGTAGTCTGTCTGAAGTCTTTCATACTTGTACAAAATCTGCAGAAATAAACATGCCAACCTCACGGAAACTCACAAACTGACATCTTGACACTTCATTTCACATTTAAAAGAAAGAGCTCATTCCTTACACTTCAGGGTGCTGATTGCTGGACTGGAACATTTTTTTTAAATATGTAACTCTGTTGAATCTTAAAACATTGTCTTTATTTTTCACAATTAAGAAATGTTTGTCCTTGAGTCACAACATAACTTCACACATTTCTGACATGTACACTGGTGGAGATTCTGTCACTGTTTACTCCTTTAATGCTTCTTTGCTAATACTAATGTATACAGAATAAGATAAATAATACATTATTGAGTGTGAACATTGTAGTGTATTGAGTGTTTTGTGATTTATTTAATTATAATTTATTTAATTAATTCTTTCATAACTTTTGTGCTTTACTGAAAACAAAAATAAACATGCATGCATAAATAGAAATAAATTAAATGAGAACAAATCATGTAAATAAATCATGATAAATCTTTTATTATAAACTCTTCTTTTAACCCTCTGGTGCTGCTCAAATATTTTCCAGTTATAATGTATATTATTTCATATTTTTGTCTGACTTAATTAATCAAAGACCTGAAAATAAAATGTTCAACTTAAACTATTGTTAATCTTTAGTGCTTTGTAGTCTCTGATCTGCTGTAAGTTTTGTCTTCCTTTTGAAGACATAAATATAGATTATTTTTTATAGATAATAAATAAGAATATGGTTTTATAATATGTAGTTTTATGTAGAATTAAATGAATTTTTCTACTCTGATCAACAAATTTTTTTCCCCCGATAAAAATCAAATAATTTTTTACATCAAATAAAACTATATTTGTTTATTGTTTGTTTGTGTTCACAAAATCTAGACCAGAGATGCCCAAAGTAGGGCCTGAAGGCCAAAGGTAGCCCATTGTAACCTTTAATTTGGCCCACCACCTTTCCACCTGAGAGGAGAGTGAGACTGATGGAGAGAGTTGGGTCAAATGCCTTTAACACAGAGATTGTCGTTTCTAATTTGACGTAATTAATAATCTAATTAACTTCTTTGTGTTTTTTTTTTTTTTTTTGCTGAGCTAAAAAAGCCCCTGAAATTAAATGTTTCATTTAAATGTTGTGAATGAATCTGATTTGTAAATACTGTCACTCAAGGACTATGCAGAAGACATCAGTGAGCAAATCAAGCCAACAACTAGTGTAATTGCTTTGATTCACTTTAATAACGTTTATTATAAAATGTAAAAATATATGTGTATGATACTGTATTAGTAAATATAAAGCCGTGTTTTCTAGTCATGTTTATACAGTATTAAATAAATTAGCAAATTAGTCATAGAAACTATATTTACATTTAGCCTACAAGCCTCAATCAAGTTTGGTTTTTGGCCCTTCATAAGAAAAAGTTTAGGCACCCCTGAACTAGACCAATCTTCAGACCATTATGTAAAAAATACATAAATTAATTAGTTAAATAAGAATGAAAAGCACCAGAGTAATAAAGCATATTTATAAGATATACATTTATTGTTCATCAATGAATAGATGATTTTGAAATCTTTATTGTTTACAGAGACTTTGGTACAAAAAGTACAAATGTAAAAAATCATAATTAATCAATAAATTACAATTATTTATAAATTAATAGATTACAAAATTATAATTTATATGAAAATTTCTGCGAATATTGCTAATATATACATTCTAATCTATTTTCATTATTTCCCCTTTCTATTGGTCTTTAGTCTGTTTTAAAAAATCTGTATGAATTATATACAGTCAAGCCAAAACTATTCATAACCCAGGGGTATGAATAATTTTGGACTTTTCATAATTTATAAGTCAAAATATAAAGTATTGGATCACAATTGTAATTTTAAAATCAATATTAAAAAAGTAATATAATAAATGTATCAATATTTGTAGTCTGTTATTGTATACATTTTTGTATTGTAAATTTTGCTTTCATGAAAGGTTGTGATGTATTTCATATGCTGATTATTGTTTGTGTACATTCATATATGCGTACATTTACATATGTGCATTTTTCAAACAAATTCGTAAAACCATCAGTGCTTCTGTGTGTCGTCTGTCCTGACCTTTGACCTCCACTGTCATTGTTTAGCAGGCAGATGTCATTCCTCCTCCCTCCGCTCCCATAATCCCTGTGATCCCAATCTCACCCGTCCCGGCCGAGACCACTGCCATCATTCCTGCACCCGCGTCACAGGTCTTTTCTGTTTTTTCCATCATGTTTTCACTCCACCCACCTCAGCGATGCTCCTCTTGACTTAGAGAGATTACGGAGAGAAAGCCACACTATATCACTATATCTCTGATGCGCACTTGTACCTCAAAAGCAATTGTGCAAGTGAAGCGTGTGATACATGTTTGCCGAAGGATTAAGTTTGCGCTGGTTTGTTATGCCACTCTATTGCATATTCTGCAGTATGTTATGCTGTGTATGGACACAGGCTGTGCTGTTAATCTCTTATAAATGCCAGAGTAATACTGTATCAGCATGCCAAGAGTAAGTGATGCTTTTTATTGGATCTTTTTTCCCATTAAATGTGATTGTTTCGTGTTGTTTTCAGTAGATTATGAGCTTAAAGCAGTGTGTGGAGTTATTGATTTATGTTAGTGTAATTGGTAATGAATGGTTTTGTTTTGTTTTGTTTGCAGGCAAGTCCAGCACCGGTGGTGGTGAACACAGAAAGCCTTGACTCCTCACCATATGTAAGTTTATTTGGAAATTATGCTCTTTTCATGTGCTGCACTTTGCGAGGAGAGTTACATTATTCCAGTTAATGGAATATTAATTGCCGGTCAATAAGATCATTTTCATATCACATATAAAGCAAATTGTAATGAGGAATATTGAAGATTAACACTTTGTGTTTAACATCAGTGTAAAAAAAAAAAAAAAAATATATATATATATATATATATATATATATATATATATATATATATATATATATTGACCTTGACCAGCTGGTTGAGATATGTTTTTGTAATGGGTGTACACTCAAAAAATCATTTTGGCTGCTTGTTCAGACTGCTTATTAGAAATGAGCTGAAATAACACAATTTTTAAGCTTTCCTTTGGGACAACTTAATTGTTTTATGTTCAATCCACTGAAATTTGCAAAAACAACCAAGGTAACCTAATTTATTTGTATTGGGACAACATGAAGGAACTGTGTGGAACCAAACATTTTTTGCAGTGAATAAAAAATAAAACAAAAAGGATTCGAGTTAGTAGTATTAGTTGTGTTTGACTCCTATTTTGACAATTAATGCAGAAAAAAAATGTTCATTTTTATTTAAATTCTTTAAAATTACATTTGCTTTTTGATTCAAAGATGAAATTTTATCATCATCATTACTTTGGCCTGCAGTGTCACGCGGTCCTTATACTATGTACATAGTACTATACTATGGAATATTTCCTATTAATATTAATGTTAAAAACAGTTATGCTGCTTATTATTTTTTTTAGAAAACTCTAATAATATCTTGTGCATGTTATATGTTAGGATGCTTTTAAGCTACTTTTACTTCATTGGAATACATTTTTTAAAGATTCAAAAATAACAATATGGTAATATTGCTTTTGACAGAAAAAAAGAAAGTAGAGCTGTGCATAATTCTTTTTTTTTCTTTTTTTAACCAAACTACAGTTATGAATACAAATTAAAAGACCACTTTAGTGTATCTTTATTTACATGAATATATTACTTTTAGTTTTGTTCTATTTTAACATTTTGATAACATTTCTTCCTAATTTCAAGTAAATATAATGTCCTTTTCATTTTTTATAAAAAAATGACAGTTGGTCATAATAACAAATATTTGCAGTTGTTGGCATTGCAAATCTGTGTAATTCTTCCAGATATTGCTTTTCTAAAGTGATTGTTCATCCCCCCCCCCAAATAGTTCTGTAATTTTCTCATCCTCACTTTTTCTTTTGTTAAACACAAAAGCTGATATTTTGAAGATATATATATATATATATATATATATATATATATATATATATATATATATATATATATATATATATATATATATATATATAATTTATATATAATTAAATATAATGTATAATTATATATAGATATAATATAAAGACATGTACAGTGTTTGTTATTTTAAAGTGGACTGACAGTCAATATATAAGCTTTTTCATTTGTCATGTTCATTTTCAGTTTAATTTACATTTTTGTTGCTGATTTATATTTTACTATCTCATTTTATGCCTTAATTATTGTACATAAATAATAAATTAGTAAGTAAATAGGCCTAAATAAACAATTATTTAAATATTTTAACAGCGAAACTGAGAAACGGCCTGGCACATGGTCTAAACAGCTCTTAAGTTAAATGCTACTTCATCAAAAGCATAAAAATAAAATGACCTATGCCTCAAGCAGATCACTAAACTTATATTAAAAATAATTTTGCTGCAGGACGTAAATTAAGTCCTGCAAGTTTATTTGAAAAAATATCGTTTCAGTTCAGTTTCCCTGCACTTTTTAGGATATCCTTTATCTTTATTTCTTTGTCTTGTATTTCATCGTTTCATTATTTTAGATGTTGGGAGATTCTTCCTCCTCCAGTGGCTTTAACTGTTGTTGACATTTATCAGGGTCCCATGACACTCCTCCAGCCCTATTCTTCTCTCAATCTCAGCAGCGTCCCATAATCCTATACATCCAGTGCCAGAAAGCCTGCTGATCTGACTTCTGTCATCCTTCATCAGACACTCCATCTGAAGACTATAGAGCTATCTCAATGAGCTCTAGCTAAAGTCTATGAAGAGATGACCATGAGACTGACCTCATTAAATATTTACATTATCAGTGCTGAACTCATTCACTCCATCTCCTACTCTCTTAAAGGGATAGTTCACCCAGAAAAAATCGAAATGGACTGACCATTCATTTAACTTTAACTTGTTCCTTGCCTGTTTAAAACACAAAAAAAAAGGAATTGTGAGAAACTGATTGTTAATAGCTATGTTTACATTCAAAAATGCTAATTAGACTTATGCACAAAACTGAAATATCACATAAAATGTTTGTGAATAAAACACCATTTCCAGTCATAAAGAACAAAATAGTCTCTTCCTGGTAAACTGGTGGAAAATATCAAAAAGCTAAATAAATTATGCTTAAGATACATTTAAATTTAAAAAAATAATTGTGCTTTAGAAGACTAAGATGAATGCAATTAATCTTTGGGAGAACAGCCACTCAAAGAAACAGTTGCTCTGAGAGGTAATAATAATAACCCACTTTCATAATGAACTTAAGGCATTTTCGAGTGACAAAACCACATTTCAGGTGTTTTTCCAATGTGTTCGGTCTTCAACAGACCCATTTTATTTATCACATCATCTGTTAAAGCAAAATAGCCTTAAACTTGTGCATACTGGAATTTATTTGATTAATGTATAATCATATTCACATTTTTTTTTCTTATTAGACTAAAAAGTTTAAGCTACTCAGTTTTCTTATGCACATTTTTAAAATCTATGTGCATCTTGACATTTCCATTATGCAATTTTCAATAGAAGCTATATTCCAAAATGTACATAAAAATGGAGGATGGAAACAGCTCTTGATATCTGTAATGGGGAAAAAATACAAATGAAAACAGTGACTAGCGATCACCGGCATCCTCTTTTATGCTCTCAAATTGCAAATAATGTAGGTTTGGAACAAGTAAAAGTGAGTAAATTTTGAGTAAATCGTCATTTCTTGCTGAACTATCTCTTTAATAGTACATATCTCAAAAGCTTTCTCAATTTTTGACTTTTTATATTTAGGTTGAATTTCAATAGAAAAATGTACAAAAAAAATTAAGTCTTAAAAAATTAGTGAGCCTTATTACTGAATGTGTTTAAAGCATGCACGCGTCCTTAATAAATAATACAAGAGAAAATACACCATTTCAGAAAAAGAAGTCAAAACATACATTTAAAGGGACATTGTTATAATTTTGATAAATGTGTCCTATTTAATGTATTTATTAATGGTTTTTGAATAATAATATAAAAACACTCCTGAAAAGCTCAGGATTTTCTCTGCATTGTGGGATCAAGCCTTTTTGACACTGGGTCTACTGGTAGTACGAATTGGTTTTACAGTATTCATGCATGTGCTTTCGGATTACGTTTTTCTTTTAAGCAATACAGAGTAAAAAGCAGAGTATTGATGTTGAATAACTCCTTGTGCATGTACTTTACATCTCTTCCTTGTATAACATGTCTATTGTATGTTTTACAAGTGTTTACAATAAACCACATTACTTAAAACATAACCCAGACAGGTTTAGGGGAAAAACACAAATAATCATCATAAAAAAAATCTAATCAAACACCCATTCACATTTCACACCTTTAGACTACCAAAGCTTCTTCAATGTCTCAATATCAGTCTTATTTGTTTTATTTTGGCTAGAATAAAAGCAGTTTTTATTTTTTTTTATTAAACATTTTAAGGTTAAAATTATTAGCCCATTTTATTTTTTGATAGTCTACAGAATAAACCATCATTATACATTAACTTGTCTAATTACCCAAACCACTCTAGTTAACCTAATTAACCTAGTTAAGCCTTTAAATGCCACTTTAAGCTGTATACAGTAGAAGTGTATTGAAAAATATCAAGTAAAATATTATTTACTGTCATCATGGCAAAGATAAAATAAATCAGTTATTAGAAATGAGTCAATTAAACTATTATATTATAATTGTTTAGAAATGTGTTGAAATAAATCTTCTCTCTGTTAAACAGAAATTAGGGGAAAAAAAGAAACGGGGTCTAATAATTAAATGGGTTTAATAATTCTGATTGCAACTGTAAAGCTCCAAAATTTATTGCGATACACAATATTATTGTCATTTAACACTATTTTAACACTCAAATAGCATCATAATGCAAGTACACTCTTTCAAAGAACACATATTTCATTTTCTTAAGAATATATCATTTATATTCTTATTATTCTATTATATTTTATCATTTAGAGTATATTCATTTAAACAATTTGATAATTAGACATTAAAATCAGAATGTAAACAACACACACACACACACACAAACACACACACACACACACACACACACACACACACACACACACACACACACACACACACACACACACACACACACTGTCTATATATCTATCTATCTATCTATCTATCTATATATATAGTTCCCCTTCGGGGGGAACTTCAGCACTATAAGTGGATTTGATTGTTAAAATCCACGTATGGGAGATTCGGTTCAGAAGCTACTCGTCTGAAAGAGTATTGAACGGGCCAATTAAGAATGAATTGGCAGCGCAAGCCTGCGCAGGTGAGCGGCATAAGCAATCAACTGAGTATATAAGCTCACCTGGCGCCAGCAGACGCTATCCTTTTCGCTTCAGAGACTTTTCTGATCGAGCTTCATGAGGGTTCCTCCTGCTGTCTACAGCCACTTCGAGCGAACGAGTGTCTCCCGGTCCAGAGCGAGTCCACGCAGCGGCAGATGGTCGAGCTGGGTTTCTCCCTTGCCTGGCGTCCCTTTGGGTCCGGTCCTCCAGAGCGGTGCGTATTGTTGCAAAGCATCCTAAAAGAGCAACACAGTCGTGCAGCACGTCCTTTTCAGGACGGCGCTCCGACTGTGCGTTTCTGGTTGCGGGGGTTTCCTGGCTCCGGATGATGGGCACGATCACTGCAT